AATGCTGCTGATATCGTAACTGACAATTCTGGCTCTGACTACTACCACAAGGTTACTTGAAATGGTATTCAATGTGCCATACTGGTCGCTAGATGTTGCTTGTGTGACACCCAAGGTAGATCACAAATGTCAGCTCTGCTAAGTTGGTGCTTGCAATTTCACAGTGGTAATTGATGTACGTTTACGTGCGAAAGTGAATGTCTGTAAACGCCACCAGGTTGTTCAGAAGTATGTAAGATATCCAACTGCATTTTGTTCGAAGAATTCCAGACTGTCGAATAAGAATGTCTTAGGAGTATATATATATATTGTCTATTTATTTGTAGTTTTTATTCTTCTTTATTTTATTTATACCTTGAGGTGATGCTATTTTTAGTTTTACCAGATTACTATTTTTATCGTTTGTATTTCTTTAGTTTTATCCCAAAGCTATTTGAATAATGTTACACCAAGATGGGGCTGTTTTGTGTAGATTACATTAAGAACTTTATGTATTACGATTATAAATTTCCTTTTATTCTTCATATTATATCAATATGTCCTCATATCATAATGTCGTGTCGTTCTGATAACTTCTGGTCTCTTTCTGCTTTCGGAAAATTTCAAATACTGCAAACGGTTAAGAGCAAACTAAAGTCCTTAGAAAGTATTGGTGTTTATTTACATGTATGTGACAATACCTTCAGTTATATAGAGAACATAGTGAGAAATGTCAAGCTAAAACAAATACAATATCTAGACAGAAATAAACCCCACAACCTTATTGTAAGATATACTGTAAATCTATATAAAAATCCAAAGCTATGATGTTGTGATGTCGCAGTTTATTCGATAGTCTAGAGCCTGTCACGATATGCTTACAAGACATCCAAGATGTCGGCAACTGATAAACACACAATGTCGGATGCGAGTGATAGAGGAGGTTTATAGGGAGGTTCAGCGGTCACCATAATTATCTCATTGAGTTACATCCTTTCTTTATGACATGTGAATCTGGGTGTGTTTGATGCTCGTTAGCATGCCTGATGGTTCTGTTGTATACTATATACCCATGTGATCAAAATTTACATGGTGTGTCGTCGATGTCGCCGTATTTTCTTCTGGAACATCTGATCTCAGTCTCCTTGTACTTTTCACGAGTGTAAATCTTTTTTTTATTTCGCCCTCTGAGTAGTTTTTATTGCATTTGTGTTCGGACTGTGACTTTGGTAACACGTTGGTATTCTCTTTGTTGTTCCATTTAATCATTGTAACATTTAAAAATCGAGATTATCACTCCGTCATTGGTCACGCTTGACCACACAATTGCAACACTTGAGCCCACAATTAATTTGGTGACGTCTATTTAAAGTTTTGTGTATAGGTAGGATGATGAACGAAATTACACATTTATGTACTGTATAACCGAACCAAGCAACTACTCTGGAAGTATTTTTAAGTTAAATCCAAACTTTTATTGTTATCATTTTATCTTTAAAATCTCTCGTGAGACAGGGCGTTTAAAACCTGATTACCAAAAAAGCTTAAAGTAACGAAACATTGATGAAATCGAGGGGCGATATTTTTTAATAGCAAAAGCACTTAGTCATATCTGTTACTACAGCCATCTATTGCTATAAGTTGTGTACAAATTTCTAGTTCAAAATATTGATTTACGCCATAGCATCGCTTTATCAAGTTCACTATTTACAATTTTTATTCAGTTATCGGTTTTTTATGGTTTATCGTATTTAAATGGTTTCTGTTTTCTTTTTCTTTCGTCAATTCGATTATAATGACATATTTGATATTCAGAGCATACTTTCCCTTCACCAATTAAATGCTATCTTAAATATTCAGTTCACATTTTATCTCAATGTTCAATATTTTCCCTTTTATGGATAAAATGTCAATGAGATCGCTTATATTCAGTACATATTTTCCTTTATCAATAAAGTTTCAATAAGATCACTTATATTCAGTACACATTTTCAAAAGCATTTAAAGTAAGATTTTTAATATTCAGTAGACACTGCGTTTTATTTTATCTATTTTTTATTGATAAAATCATAGCAAAAAGCCGAAAACAGAAAAAAAAACGCTGTTTTTAAAGCCGAAAATAATCAAATCATGTCCCTCATTTTTCACATGACCCTGACATATATGCCTCTTAGTACGTGTTCCAATTTAAATCGCCTTATTGTTCATAAAATGTCTAAAATAATTTCACAGGTCGTCCTTACCTATAATCTAAAGGTTGTAATACATTAATCTTGATTTATCGCGATGATGTCGATGGCACTCCCTATGAATCGACATTTGTCTCATGGCTATACTTTTATGCAAGGAGAGAAAACCAATTCAATTAGAGATGGCGAACATGAGCTCGTCTAATTTCATCATGTCGAAATTTGCAGGCGGTCACGAATGTTCATCATTAGCAAGGAAAGTTTTGACACGCTAGAAATGAAGTCATCCGGATACAAGGAAATGATAACAGAGTATGATAATTACTGGATTATTGTATGTAGTTTGATACCATCAAATTAACATTGGCAATTTGTTAAATATATAATTTCACTGTATGAGTTTGAATATTCTAAAAAAGTAATATAGGGAGGTAGAAAAGCTATCCATTAAGTATAAACTTTATTCATTTTACAACAATTGTGAATAAAGTTATTTCAACTTATAATAAGCACTCTTGTTGGCCCGGGTGTAAGCGCGCGAGATGTCTTATTGTTGGAGGAAACCGGAGTACCCGGGGAAAACGCAAGTCGTGCAGGTGACCCTAACCTTTTCACGTCCGTTCCAGGAGTCGAACCCCGGACGACTAGCTGAAAGATGTGTACGTTACCAATGCGTCACCCGACCACCCAGGGAAAAGCTGTAACGCACTACAACATACACGGACTTAGTTATTTGTATATAAAATCACACACGAAGATAATTGCAGAAACCTCTTCTTCTACTTCGTCTTTTTCCGATATAAATCTTTAAAAAACTAATTAGCTAATAATAGTTATTCTGTTGGACAGCGTCTATTAAAACAATGACGCGACATCGAATCCAAATTTTCATGGAAATTTCCTAATGATTTCCGGGATATTCTGGACAGGATACCTTGGTAAACATCACACTGTTCTCGAGGATGCATGTAGCATTTAAATCCTAAAATGAAAATTAGGTAACTAACCTTCCACACAGAAATTTGTAATATCTGAGTCAGTAATGAATGGTTTACTTTAATGAACATGTACGTTAATCTTATTTTCAAAATTCAAAGCTTATTGTTAACCACGATAATGAAACTCGTTCATGCAAATAATTCGATACGTCATCAAACGTTGTCATCGAATAATCAATAAGTAAGTATTGGTCTATGTGACTTAAATTAAAATCGCATTTCTACCATTATTCACCTCGTATTCTGTGAAAATATTAATTTTTGTGGATTTTTTTATTGGACTACGCAAATTTAATCCATAAAAAGTATATGCTTTTACAGTATTCAAGGTTCCTTGTGACAATAGTTAAACAGTTTTGTCCTCGACGAGTATTACAAAGAATTTCACAGTAAAACTTTATCCTTTTCCACAATTGCATCAGGTGATGATTGTAACTTGTTTGAATAGACAACCAGGGATGTTGAATTGTTTGTGTACATTTGTCTGTTAACTCGAGGTCTACCAAATTTAATAATTTTCTACTGTTTGTGTTGAATTAGGACGTTGACGGTAGGTATCCCGAAACAGCACATTGCTGGATTGCTCTGTTTTTAATGATTGTTGCAAAATGTCGCAATTCACATGAGATCGCCCATTCTGAACAGTCAATGATGTCTCGTTGTTTGTGCTTGAAATTGATGGGATACCTCCTGAATCTGAAAAAAAACGTTGTTTATGTTTGATGAGATTGCATACGAGACTTCTTATCGTGAAGAATGAAATATTGTTTGTGTTTCCAATTTTTAGAACGTAGGGGAACTGCAATTTTAATCCCTATCATAACACCTGGGATCTCCATGTTTTCTTTATGTTTCTTCTTTTTCGCTATAATTCGCGAATTACAATATGCAAACCCGACGGTTGGTGATTATTTACTCACAATTATTATCCCGCCATATAATTTTCGATGTCATTTAACGTTTATTTTCAAAATGCTGTCACTTCAACGCACTATGGGAAATATAGTGTTATCTGAAGCAATGTGCAACTTTTATCATAACGCTAGTTAACGTGGCGCCAAAATGACCTCATGTTCTTTTTTTGTAATCTGCAATGTATCTGCATTCCTGTGAAAACAATTCAAAATAACACTTCTTCAGTTGGTATATAATTTTTTTCTTTATTTATATATTAAAATATATTATTCCCATTACGAGCTAACTATCGATAAGCATGTATTCATAACAGTATTCAGGATGTTACTTTGTCCAAATACTCGGAATCAGTGTCACATGATCAAGCAGTCGCAGTGAAACAAAGAAATAAAACCTCTACTCTATGAATCGATTTTTGGAAAGAATAAATAGAAATAAAATTAAATAACAAAAAATTAATAACAAGTGTTCCGACTTAGCTTTGAACCCGCCATACATAATCGGTTTCTTGTTTAAAATTATACAATTACGGTTGCGTTAATTTATCGACTATTTTCTCCACAGTACAGCAAGCAGGTAACCTACAAATAATCAGATAGTAACTTGCTACTAAAGGAAAAAGTAACCAATAAGTTATTGACCTAAAGATAAATCGTTCAGAGTCTTGCAAACTCTTTGTTTACAAAAATAACTTCTATTAAAGGGCAAACGATTTGTTCTATGGGCGCTATTTTCATTAACATACAACATCGGATTATCATATAGATATTTATCTATCATTTTCTTTTTGATTACATGAGGTTTATCCATTAAATCCCTAGCAAGTTTCCAAAGCAAGATCGTCAAATACAATACTTTCTAGTATCTTTCAACAACGTTGCAAGTCATCTATGTTCTCTTTTCTATTCCACCAGGTGCAATGTCCATTTTGATGTCCTTGGCCTCTGAATTAGACTCAGATGTATCCAGCATTGATAACACAACACACCTGGAAGGAGTTTATTATGTGCACGAGACCATTCCAATGAATAGCACAGTACAGATCATCACCGATGAGTTTCTGTGTAGTAAGCGAACTGAGGATGGAAATAATCTTGACCTTTTGGTCTCTATCACGTCATCATATATCGGGTCAAAGTTCGACATAAGTATAAGAAAAACCAGTGCAAGTTGTCAGATGGGCAAAGTTTTGTATGTTCTTCGTGCTAACAATAAGGAAGCCGTGAATGAAGTGTTAAGAGGTCATATTAACGGATTACTTGGGACAGATCTCTCTAACAGTGTTGTGGCCAGTTTTAAAAACCTAACAAATCTAGATATTTTACTTTCAGTGCAATTTGAAATGAACATCAAAGCTATAACAGAATACAGAGAGATTTATGTTCCATTTCAAGGTAAGTGATTTTCGCGCTTAATTCATATCTCTCAAGCCTTTATAAATGGTTATTATTTTCTATGGTCAGCTTTAAACTAATTGTTTGTTTTCGATAAAAGGATGATTGTTTTTGGGTGCAGTCTGTACAATCAAACAATTACTTACCTTACTGACTAGAATCTAAGAAGTATTTATATAGAAACAGTCGGTGCATCCATTCTTAAAAGAACGTTATTACTTTGATTGTCTTTGCTTTCCACTCTTTGCCCGAACATCACTGATTAGTTCTAGAAGAACGAAAGAGGTGTTTGGTGTTGATTTCTTTATTTTGTGAATGCCTCTTTTGTAAATCTGTATTGAACAGTGATATACATTGATGTCATCATAATCCTTTAATGTGAAACTGTCCTATCTGCAGCGTTAATGTCTTCATTCGATACTATAACCATTTCACGTAATTATCAGAAACGAATCATGCATACAGGTATATTTTCTTCTTAAGTATCAGGACTCAAGAGAAAGGGGAAATATGTCAAAATATATTGTATTTATCTTCATTTCTTAAAATTGATTTTAAATCTTTTGTTTCAGGAATTGGGATTTGTTCTCTGGATTTTACTGAAGTCAACACTCATATGCTCTCTTCGGTATTATATATAATAGGGACCACAATGGTTATACCATACATCGTGATACTTGTGTGTGGTATTGGAGTGGCCATGAAATATCACAGCGGCAGGCAACACAACCATCTGGAAGATAACACGTATCTCAAGGTTCTGTACGTTTGTGGATTTACCAGCATGGTATTCTGTGTACCCTATTACGTCACGAATTTCTTAAACGCAAAAGGTTTGCTCATTTCTGTTAGTGCGAACTTCTTCAGTACAATGCTTTTTTACATGACTCCTATGTGTGTTGCGGGGCCTTATATGTTTTGTAGACTAACAGAAATTAATTTTTCTCAAAAACTGCTGTTCACAAGAAAGAAATCAACATTAAGTGCTAATAGCGATGAAACTATATCTAGTGCAATAAAGCTAGAGGCGTTATAGTGTGAAGTGAAACCTCGTTATGTTGCCATCATCATATCATCATGGGGGTATGATGCATGAGTCTTAGAGGTCAAACATGATATGTAAGACAGAAGAATTACCTTGAGTTTGGATATTTATCATCTCACTTTCTATTGGCGTCATACCGAGGTTTTATTGCCTGTAAATGGTGGTCATAATGTCTTTTTTAATAAAGGAGCTTTAGATTTCTCCTTCTTTCAAATGATAACTGCTTTGGTTTTTGTTTTTTAATTTCAAGAGTTGATATATTAAACATATTCCAGCACATTAAGGGAAAATAACATCCTTGTGCATTCATACCTTAACTATTTAGAAGGTACCTACTGTGCCATAACGAGGAGGATGGTGAGCAAAATCGCACAGACAGCGCATTATTGAAATGACAAGATTTGTCTTAAAAGGAAAGTAGAAAAAGGCACATGCCTTATCTCATACTTTGAAGACAATTATTTTACCATTTAAAATATTAGGAGGACACAAAAAAGGAAGAATGATATAATAGGAAACATAACAGACAGGGAGGGGGAGAGAGTGGAGAGAGAAGTGGAGAGAGAGGGAGGGGGAGAGAGGAGAGAGAAGTGGAGAGAGAGGGAGGGGGAGATAGAGGAGAGAGAAGTGGAGAGAGAGGGAGGGGGAGAGAGAGGAGAGAGAAGTGGAGAGAGAGGGAGGGGGAGAGAGAGGAGAGATAAGTGGATAAAGAGGGAGGGAGAGATAGAGAGGGGGGAGATAGAGAGAAGTGAGAGAGGGAGAGTGAGCAAGAGAGAGGGGGATGAGAGAAAAGGGATAGAGGAAAAAGAAAGGAGAAAAGACGCGAGACAGGAAAGGAAAGATTAAGAGGGAGTGAGAAAGCGGGAGGGGGAGAGAGGGAAAGACAGAACTAAGAGTGACAGAGAGAGGGAGGGAGAGAGAGAGAGAGAGAGAGAGAGATAGAGAGAGAGAGAGAGAGAGAGAGAGAGAGAGAGAGAGAGAGAGAGAGAGAGAGAGAGAAATGTTTGGTCTCTCTTTGTTCCGACGCACTAGTGGTGATGTCTACTTGAAGGACCTGTATGACAGGAGAAAGTGAAATAAGCACGGGATGTGACGAACTTGCAGGTTTTGAAAAGTGTTTTGCATTTCTACTAGTATTGTTCATTTTAGGAGAGACCGAAATTAATAAAATTTTCTTTCCCACTCTCTATCTCTCTTTCTGTTTCTCTCTTTCTCTTCGCATAATGATTGTATATTTGATACGAATAAAATATATTTAAATCAAATGAGAGGCCCGTCGCATACTATTCAGAGAAATAACGGTAACAATCTTACCGAAGGTTGCGACCACATAAGTAAATAATAAAAAAAAACAGCAACCGCCACATTAATGAACTCACCGAACGACACACTTCGGATTGTCACCTGAGGCTACGAAGCTACAACTGTCTAACCGACAGTTAGACACTGAGCTATCACAGCCTCTAGATTTGATGCAAAGTTTCATCACTGACATTATATAATTAGATGGGAACTACAGATTTTTATATGTGTATATAAGGACGTTGACCAATTAAGCCAAATTTGTGTCAAGTCTCCGTTTAGAGAAAATCAATTCTTAGCTAGAATCTGTTCTGTTAGATTACAGGTCGTTAGAGAAACAGATAGGATGTACACTTTTTTTCCGTTAATTCCACATCTTTCACTGTTGCCCTAAGCGAAATAGTATCGATTGTATTCCAGTTTGAGTAAAGAGTATTGATTTTTTTATTCTTATTTCATGTAACATCGCACAGTGATCTGGTTTTGAAATAACATTATAAAACATCCTTTGTGATGGCAATAATGATCGCTTTCATAGAACTTGTTTTACGGGGTTTTCGCCACATTTATCAAATACGTTCAGATATGTTTTCCCAATAAAAGATAGCTTACACGTAAATTATTTCTAAACCTGTATTAATTATAATATGATCACGTTCAACATCATCATCAATGTGGGCGCATTTGGACATTTTATAATCTCTGGTAATATCTTGTTCATGACAGTAAGTTTAAAGAGCGGAGGGCGTGGTAGAACAATAGGCAATTAGCTCTATGTTGTGAAGACAGAAATATATCTATCCTCAGAATCAAATATCCACAGCTCGGTAATGACTAATAAACCGTAAAGATTTTACCCTGCGGTTGCAAAAGATCTTATAAGGAAGTTTTATGGTCGCCAATAATTGAAAATTATTCTTTTTTTTTTTTTTTTTTTTTGTGCGACATGAGGCTCGACATATGAGATGCTTGTTAGCTTGCCTGTTGGTTCCGTTGTTGTATACATTTTTCTCATTTGAGAACGTGACATTATTTACTTGCACTGACAAAGGTTTACATGGAGGGTGTCATCGATGAAACAGAAGACGCTTACGCTTCCGTAACACATGGTCTTATTCTCCTTGTCATTTGAATTACATTGTACTTAAGGAAAGGTATGTTCTTATGTTTCTTAGTTGTATGCAATATGTTTATTCAAGGACTTGTTTCCGATGTCACGATTTCTCTTGAAAACGAACGTGTTGGATGCTCAATAGCTCGGGCGGTGATGCCGCTGTTGTTCACCTTATTTGGGAACGTGGCATACTTACTTAGATTGACAGGATTTAAATGGAGGGTTTCAGTGATGAAGAAGACGCTTACTTTTCCGGAACACCTGGTCATTTTCTCCTTGTTATCTACTTCAGGTTTTCTTAGTTTGCCCTAGTTTTTTTAAAATCTGAATCCAGATTTCATCAACATGTCCGTATTTTCCTGCTGTTTTACATCAGTATTAACGTATATTGCTTTCGTTACTAATCATGTTGGTTAAACCGACTAGAACCGATTTTGTTGCTCATATATACGAGTAGTAGACTGGTGATTATATTTCTGAAATATCTTAATAGTGAATCGTGTTGCGTTAATTAATAGAATCTTACAATCTGTTTGAGATATGTTAGGGATATGAACGCATGGGGAAAGATAAGACTTACTGAGTGTTTACACTTTCATAATCTTTTCTTGATGGTTTAGATCCTCTTCTCAACAACACGGGGATGAATGGCTATTTTTCTCTTACCCTGTAAGCTTTATGAGGTACTATCTTGTGTTTTTGTTACCGCAAGCCTTCGCATCTACGACATGATTGAATTGTTGACATGACGTTAATGGTTACCGTGGCACCATATCATTGATCAGACAGCAGAATCCCTTGTGTAAAACCTAGGATGAAACAAACATACAGGTCAAACGCGTGAATATTCTTGTCCAGAGTAAGAGACTGATAGAATGTTTCATCCTTTTTGAGGTGAGACAGGTATATCGCAAATTGAGGAGGGGAAAGATTAATAAGCTGACATACATTTGGCTAGCTTTTCTACCACTAGTGTTCACATTTGCGTTTGTATATAAATTCTATTTTGCTTCTGATAAAACCTACATGTGGCCTAATTGAAATAACCTATTTTGTCTCTAGTATCTAAAGAACATGGCAATACAGGAGAATCCTTTTTATGACGGTAAATTGGACAGGTTGACAGTCTATACGAACTAATATTGAAAGTTTGAAACAAAGATTTTATATAAGTTTATTTTATAAATCTCAATTTGAATTCTTTAAATTGTATTGAAACTTCTACTTTAAATGACTTTACGGAATTAATTCATCGATCTATACATCAAAATAGCCGTTGTGCGTCTACTTTCTGTGTTAACATGATAGATACGATCAAGGTTTAACTGAATATATATATTAAAATCTCGCAAAAACATAGCTTTAATTGAAACCCATTAACTTATCATTTTCATTTTAATTACCTTTATGATGAAACAAATATAAAAAATTATCCAAACATATAATAAAACTCTCAAGAATATAACTGCGTTTTGTGAAGTTGACTTTACACTTTCACAAAAAGACGACGCCATTTTGAATTTCAAAGGTTTGATTTATTTTCTATATTGATGAAAGACTTTGGAACCAGTTTCTTAAAAATGGATGTGGATTCTTGGAAGGTGTAATGACAGTAATTTGCGTTGATAAGGAACACATTTCAGAAATCAAAAAGTTAAACTTGATAATGCTTTAGCAAAAGATATCTAATTGCGCTCTAACATCAGAATGTCATGCATCCTACTCTCCATGCAACGCTCATTATACAAACTATTCAGGCTCCTTTTTCCGAAAATTCATTAGTCAGACTTTGATAAATGTCATGTTTAATGGAAACGAATGGAATAATAGTTATATAAACACACAGTCGCACTAACAACGAAGAATACGGTAGTGTCGGGTTAATTTGTTTGGAATAACAACATCAGAGAAACAGATTTTAAATAACAATAAGAAAAGACACGTCAGTTTTTAATTATATTGCGTCCAATTCTGAGGTTCATGAAAATGTTTCAATAGTGAGATATTAGCACAGCTCTGAGACGCTGAACACTGATAATATTAACAAAATGAAATTTACGTAACAATAAAAATCAATATTTCTGTTTGTTGGCATACGTTTCCTTTTTTTTATCTTAAGGATATTAAATGATTTATTCTTTTCATTACATCTTGTATTTGCTCTTGCAAAACTTCATCAGTTGCTATTTATATTAATGTAAACAAAAAGTAGATTTTGTATCTCATTTGATGATGTTGACCTAAATCGTTTTCTAAAAATCCTTTTACCGCCTTAGTTTTAATGTTACACTTATAAATGTGATTTTCAGCTTAACGGACCTCTAGATGCTGGTGTTACTTTAATCAGAGAATATATGCATCTTCTACACTTCACACATGTTTTCACGTGTTTCGCTTGGGAAAGATACATCTATCTCCCTCTAGGAAAAAGATACAGAGCTTGCGCACTTTTATTTCCTAAGTGGTTCTATTCCTGGTATCGTTTTGTCATCACATTTTGTAGCGTTAACACCATTTTTTGTAACATATTCAGTGACAGCGATCACAATATTTTACATTATTTAACTGTTTGAAA